AAGGGGCTGGTACTTTATCAACATTATGTGTTATTATTAGTGTAATTAAAGATAAAAGGAGAAAAGAATAATTTTTCTTCTGCGCAATAAGAAATGTTTAAATGTGATTTAAGAATAGCTATGGGCATTCGGTACGTAATAATGGAGTGTGATGTACTTTGATTATCTACCAATATCACGGTCATTAAAGCAAAAAGAACCAATCAATCTTGACTTTTTACTACACAATTACTAAATAAACAACGTTCATTTTGCCCACAGCATATTCACTACAAACATATGCACTAGCATTTGAAATAAACAAGTAATGCTCGTCTAGCGACTCGCTCAGCTCTTTCTCGTAGAAATCGTGCTTTCAGATATTACATTTTAAACCTATTATTGCGTATATTAGTTTATTTTTAGTGTAGATTAGATATTTTCACAAAAGTAGTAATATATATTTATACCAAGTGCCAAATTGAGAACCAGATATTCTAAATAAGTGTCAATACAATTAAGTAGATTATGAGTTATTACATGAAAAAAGGAAATAAGAAAACACGATAGGAAATATCTGCTACAATGAGAGAAAAGAAACGATCACTACAATAATTAAGATAAATGTAAAGAAAGAAGTAAAAAAATGAACATATACGAATCATTATTTTAAGATAATTTGAAAAATAATAATAAGTTTTATATGCTTGTAATAACACTAAACTCTTAAACAGTGTATCGATTTATACACGTTCAAAAAGCGGAAGAGGTACATTCTCATTTTGTCTTTTCCTCAAGTTGATCTAGACGTTTCAGTTCAGCGTCTTGAGCAAGAGAGGGCCGAACTTGTAAACAAGTTATAAATGTTTTTCTGAAAATCGGTATCCTTGGTTTGAAAAAAGTTTCTTTAATTCTGAAAAAAGTAACATAAGATTTGTCCTATTCGACCGCAAAATCTCTTCGGTAAATTTTTATTAAAAAAAGCTGTTTTTTGAAAAAAAGTCGCTCTTTGCCTAAAAAAATTTTTTATGCAAAATTTGAAAAAAATAACGTCAGATTTGAAGTCCTCGCATTAAAATACCTCTGGAAATGTCTTTTTGACCTTACGGACATACAAACAAGCAAACAATTTATGTTTCTAAGACTCTTTTCTACGAGAAAGAGAATGCAGTTACACTAAATGGAGATACGAATTCGGCGTATACTCAATATATTTCCCGATAATTGCCGTGAAATCGCTCCAATGTGAGAGAAAAGAGGTGTGTTTGCAGCCGTCCTATTTCTCTTCGATTCAACACTGAACAAATGAATTCTAATCAACGACTACTCAATGTTTTCCAGCGGTTTCTATGAAAACAATTCCATTTTCGGATCAAAGAAAAACTCCAGTTCCTAGCTCTCAATTAATTAATTAATTAATTAATGAAAAGATTCCCGTGCAAAGGATATTTCTTATCGAGTAATTTCAGTAACACTTTTTCCAAATAAATATATGTTAGCAATTTCAATTGAGTAGGTTTTTTAAACTTGATTAAAATTTATCATGAAAATATTAGCTTCACAATGTTTTAACTAACTATACAACTTGAAAATATTTATACGAACGTAGATTAATGTATATGTACTATCAGTTAAATATAGTAATTAATACAAGTAACGCTCGTCAACGCAGACTCGCTTAGCCTTCGACTGAATGATTGCATTGAATTACGTTTTCTGTTGATGAAACCATTGATATCATTCTATAGATTCCATCATGCATTTCGTTCCGTGTACATGTTCTTTTGCGTTCTTCACATTTTCTTTCTTTCCTTCGTATATGTCGCATATGTTTTCTGTTCCCTTTCCTACATTAACATATGACGACCTGCTTTAGTCACTTTCATGACGTCATCTGCTCGCACTATAGCATCTTCTCACAATGACGTCATACCATCATAATCATTTTCGGTTGCCATTTTTCTTTGTTCATCGTGACACCCAAGCTACAGCATGGAGCGTTCATTGACAAAACTTTCGTAAATTACTACGTAACAGAAAAAACTTCCATTATGTGCGATAAAAGAAAACAAAAACTGATATGTGCCCGAAATCATACCTGAAAGATAAAGAATATAACATTTTATGTAATCTACGAATACATAAACTACAGGTGAACCCATAGAAAACGAATTACTTATAACTAGTAAACTTACTCAATAATAATGAGAATTATGCTGTGGTGAAACCCACTATGGGAGATCACTGATTGTCAGTTCCATGCCGACTCCGACAACGCCCAACAAGACAAGGTCTGCGTCCTCTGTCGAGTGACCAGGGTAAAATCGAAAAGTTGGCGACTGGAACGAACCCATATGTGACGGAAAACTAACGTTAGAACTTCGATATGGAACCCTTAGTATTATTGTCGAATTTACAACATTGCTCGCATCCTTTCGGAAGTGTGCGTCTTTTGTGTGTTTGGACGGAATACGAGGGACAAGAATAGATCCGATGTGTGCAAGTTGATGAATTTCGTGGGGACCAGCTGAATATTGTTCCGGCCGAATTCGCTGCCAGGATCCGCTTGTAGGGTTTCAACATTATCACGGCGATTCCGGTGAAAGGAAAGGATTAGAATACATGTGAAAGTTCCGCGTGTAGTCCGATGGCAAAGAACTGGCAAAATTCCGTTGCATTGCAGTCGTTTTCTGTCTCGGTTCTACTCTGATTCCGGCGATGGGAACGATGGACTCGTTAATTTTCATGAATCGTTTCGCTATGAGTTTAAGTTTTCAAATACAATTTTACACAAAACGCTTCAAAATATTGGAATACGTATTTATTCATTCTTAAAATTTTTGTAGAGTATGAAAGTCTTTGAAACGATCAACAAGGTATAAACCTATCTGTGCACTCATAGCATGAGAACGCATTTTTTTTTCTTTTCTTTTTCATACAAAGTTTCAGAATGTACTCAAAAGCTATGCTAAGGACAGTCAGGTAAACGCATCGCTATACGATTGTATTACATACAAAATAATAACAATAATAGAGAGAACAAGAGATGCAATAGACTACTGAAAACCTGCACAAATATCATCGATAACAGCCAGGTACCGTATATTATACTTCCGTAGCCAAAGGATTAATCTCGAGCACATTTCTACACACGTTTCTGTTATATAGTTGATTATGAAAGTTTCAAAAAAATGGCCTCAATGGTACTATAGAATCCTATATTTTGTTGAATTTGATACGATATAAACTATAGGATGATAAGCTAAAAGCAAGGTTATAACGCGTGTACAATAATATAATCTGAGTTGTTGTGATTGATTTCACCAATAGAAAATATTTTTTAATGCTCGTTACTCAGTCGAGAGCTCAACGAGTCTGCTTCCACAAGCGTTACTTGTCAATAGCCCATTGTATCGCTTCATGATACTTTCCTTGTGCATGATAAATAGTCGCGATCTCGCGACAAGAAAAACTAAATGTCTAACTTTGCTATGAAATTCGATATTTGCATTATGCTAATATAAGTACACTAATCGCATTCGAATAAAGTACACGTCATTCCTGGCTCATGTTTAATATCATTTTTCGGAAAAGTATTTCCATATCACACAACAGTTTACGCAACAAGACAGATTGATCAAGGGAATCGACGAGACTTGCGTAACTTTGTTTGATATATTGATTAACGGTTAGTTGGTTATGTGAATTCAAAGAAAGACAGACAAGATGTCATATATCTTTTTCGTCAAAATCGACTGATTGAACACGAAAGATTGCACCAATCGACAGAAGAACTTCACATTCTTTCGAATAAGTACTCAGATGACCAATACCAGCGAAGACGATCATATGCTCAATTGTCATATGAACTACAATTTTGATCAGAACAGGCTGTGCATCTTTTACCATACGATTTTGAAGAAATTCCAACGCAACACTTTCACTTCTGCTTGCACTCATAAATCTATTCAATGGGATTAATTGATTGATACACTTTTTCAAAAGTTCGATTTCAAACTTTAACCGCGATAAAAGATGAAGCGAAGATTTCTTTGAGTCTTCTTGATACAATCGAACGAATCATTTGTGTTCTTCTTTTAATTGTTCACAAAGTAATTTGATGACATAACAGTAGGTATACATTTGTGAAAGATTCTCCTTTCTTAAAACCTTGTTTTTGCATAGTTATACGACCGACTTTTCGGTGTACTATCGAATGGCGTATCAAGTATTGTCTGTCATAGATTCTCGATCAAAGTGTTCAATTGATGATGCGAATGAATTACCATTTCTTTCTCTGCTTTAAGGTCATCATCATTATCGAGACTGGTCATATAAGCATAACAGAAAGAAAACTCTAGAAAACGGGCTTGGCTTTCTTTTAAATTACGAATTGGATACTCTTCACCGTTATAATTGGCTGGGATTGGTTGTTGTTGATAAAAAAAAATAGACTAGAATCAGTTTTGGTATTGCCTCGATGTATGCATAAGGATATTCTCGTCACCAAATCATCGCAAATATCTTGAAGCTTGTCACATTCGATGTGTCCATACAATTCAACGTCTTGACAAAAGATAAATATTGTCAAAACATATGCAGGTAGATTTCTGTATCCTGTGTATGGCTGTTTCACTTAAAGATCCGGAAACAATAGGGATTATGTAAGACGTTGAATCTCGATCGTCTTGTAGACGAATGTACTCAATGCAGTTTATTAGTAAAACAAGCGATATGCTGTTGACAGGATAAACGCGTCTCCTCGTTAGTCCTTTTTTTTTTTAATTTGAGTTTCTACGAAAGAAGAAGAGGTAATCGCTGCGTTTTTTATGTCATGTCGGAGTATTTGCGAAAAAATAACAAAAAAGTAACACTCTCGCCATGTGAAACGATGTTTTGTCGCATGTGTTTGCTTCTCAAAAAACAATTAAAATAAAATAAAGACATTCCATGTCTCTCATGTTCTTTTACTTTCTGAACGTGAAGAAAAATGTAGACAAGCAATTTCTGGTTTTAGTTTTTTAACAAGCCCATCCGACGCCAGGACATGAAGCAGCACAATGTGAATACCATTTGCTGCGCATGTAGCAGCGAAGACCTGGTACACAACGCGTTACACCAACGTAGCCTTCTCCTATAGAAACAACAAATAACATCGTTGCATCTCGTGAAATTCAATATTTATCATACCTCCACATTGTTCAGCTGGCCCAAGAACGTCCGTTTCACAGGCCCATGTCTGTGGGCAACTTGGCCGACACTCTGCATAGAGATTATTGCTTCGAAAACACCCATAACCTGCTGGACAGATGGAATAGATAACATTGTTACATTTAGTATAAGGAGCTAACACAGTTGGACCAACGGGGACAGGTGGTGTGGTCGTTACGATCAATGCAGCGCAAGCCCAATCTAGACGGAGAGTACGAAAAATGAAATTTCACAAATACAAGTGCTATTCTTACCAAATGGACAATCATTAATTGGACGACACTAAAAACAATTGTATGACGTTAAGTAACGATTTTATGTCATGGAACACGTCTTACTTGTGAATAATGAACACTTCGTGCATAGCAAGCGTAGCCAGCTGCACATACTTTTGGTCCTTGCCAGCCATCTCCTCCACATTGGTTCCAGCCAGCAGCAATGGTTGACACTGGCGCAATATAAGTTTCACACTCCCAGTCGAGATTTCTCGGACAACTGTATTGACATGATGAATACCATTTGTTACGTCGGAAACATGTTAAACCTGGATTGCATGGAAATGTACCGTAGCCTTCACCGGCACATTGCTCATAGATACCAACGGAATATGTACGATCGATGATTGTGACGAATAAAGCAAATGCGAGCATCAACGCAGAAACCATGTTTATTGTAGTATTGATCGTTACCTTTGACCGTTAATAAACTAATGATAATCGTTTTACTACTAAGGATACTATATATAGGACATTGCCAATGACATTTAATCTTTTGTTTTCGTAGATTTTAATAGAATGTAAATTTTCAGATCCTAATCAAAATACGTAGATTACGAAGTTCTTATATTTCAGTGAAATGATGAATCTCGATGGAAAATCGATATTTTAGTTAGGGATTTAGTTTGTAGAAACAGAGCTTTATATGTCAATGCTTTTGTATTTTTATTTTTCAAATCGAGAAACATATCTACGTGTGTGTACTGATATTATCGACCTAAAATACTCGACAAGAAAGTCATCAATCAAGTTTTCTTGTTTTTGATCATAATTATTGACATACATTTGGTTTCTCAGTAGGAGATCGAACGGCAACGATCATTTGACCTTCTCATCTGTTCAAAAAACACATCTATTCTTCTTCCTTCTCGATAAATTCTTTGTTGATATATATATGTATTGAATAATGATCGTAACTGATCGATGATGGCATTGCTCGAAGTTACATGAATAAAAGAAGATGATTATCATTGTTTGTAAGACGTCGTTATCTATTATTTCAAGATGTTATCCCAAGAGAGTTAGCTCATTTGTCATATACACATACATTTTTCTCTCCTTATAGGTCACATCTCGTCTGATATTGGCACTTGTTTATTCATTTATCTTCTCTTTTCTTTCCGAGTGCAACTCTCGTTTCTACTGTATCATACGATATGAGTTAGTCTTTACTTGATACGGTGGTATCCAAAGATAGAAAGATATTCATAGGCGCATACTATAGGAATAGTTACTATGTTGACAAGTTTTCCATGATTATCAAGAATAATTCATTTTACTCAACGCCCGAATCGATTTATTCGCAATTGAATTCAACCACTCAGATTGATGATCGATCATCTACAAGTACAATAATCACAATTATTATTCTATCGTTTCTAAGCATATCCGGGTGGATTTTCATGTCTTATGCACTATTTGGCCGGTCGGAAGCTTATCGTACCAAACCTGATGATCAACATGGGGTATCACATTATTTGAATAGCTCAGAGATTACAACGCCAAATGACTTTCTTGCCAATGTGGATTGAACTGCATTTTATGTTAAAGATCGGCGAGATTTTATTTTGTTTCAAAAAGTAATAATAAAGGCAAGCCAACTAAAAATAAAATTAATCAATTTTCACTTGAAACGGTGTTCGTTCACTAGTCGTTTTCTTTTTCTTGTTAAAACCACTGATAAACACAAGAACAAGTAGGACAATAACCAAACAGATCATCGGTATGACGATGAAATACATCTAAGGAAACGAACAAAACGTTCAGAATGTTACGGAAACGAAAGAAAACTCATTTACTGGGATGACTTTCGCAGCGTCGCCTAACGAGAATGAACTAAAACGGCATTTTGTAAAGCAGAGATTTGATTATCATGTTAACTTACAAAGAATTGGATTCAGGCGGAATGGTTTCAGCTTTGACTTGCTGGTAATCGCGTTCAACGAAGTTGACGAAAGCACTTTGTTGCCATGACGTGCCTTCGTATCGATACATTTTGCCTCGTTTGAATCTAGGAAAGACTGAAGACTTGGCTGAATTCGTTGCAATTTCATCGATATTTACAGTATGAAAGTCGGCGTTACGAAGAGATGGAACCGCTTTTGTATATTTGGATTAGTATCCAAATTAACGTATGCAAAGATTGCTCGATTACGGAAACTATGACGAATAAAGTGGAATATCTTTTGAAAATGATGATTCGGTGTTCAGAAGACTTACTGTATGGATGCACCTTCCCAAATAGGAATTAAACTATTTGACTCATTACTTTTTTTGCTTGAAAAATAGAAATGACATATACGTTGAGGAGAAAATCTTTTATCAACTTACAAAAGGATGAACCAGTCGCCCGTTGTTGAGCCACTCGTAGCCTGCGTATCATGTTCAAATGTATTATCATCTAAAGTATGTGTTAACCGTTGCCGTGCTTCGCCAAGCCATTCCTGAATACTATCGACCTCTGACAACGAACCTGAAAGCAACGCACTGACTTTTTCAATGGTAAATCATCGAACGTTTTCACCGGAATAAATGATCGGGAAACCATTTCTGAAAAAGCATAGTTTCGGCGAGGAAACATGAATATTAAACTGCTTCTCAGCCAATTGTGAATTCATGGAAAGAGTAAATTGAATATTATCACCGGTACATAAATCACGGATCTGTTTTAGTTGTTGGTGTTCGTTCCGACATTTGTCAGCATTGTCATCGTTGCACTGTTGTTTGTCAACTATACAAATAGACATTAACTTTCGCTTGGTCATCTTTTGTTTTCTTACCGAAAACTACAACGTTCAACGGCGATGAACGAGTGAAATCATCCAATTGTTGTTCAGTATCAATACGTTTGAAGTCAAGATGAAGATACGAATATGACACAGAAATAAGTAAGAAGAAGACAAATATTTGCATCTAGAATAGTCAAATCTCAAACAACAATAGGAAAAAAGGTCAAATATCAAAGCTGAGGATCAAAACGTTGGATTGTACGCAGAATGGAATTTATTTTTTCAATATAACTTTCCACCGCCACACGAATGAATTTCGCTTCGTCACTCTCAAAACGAACATTGAGTACATGCTTGTCTAACGTTTCCGTGCGCTGAACTGTTTTCTTTGGTTCCTTATCGATCCGAACGGTGTTGTACACAATTTCAGCATGACGAATCGTTGCTAGTGGAAAACTTAATTCACAGACGAAATTCATCTACAACACAAATATGGTGCACATCCATTCATCAGGAAAAGAAAGAAACAAACATATTCTAGTTAATCTTGTTTATTAGAGTATGTGTAAGAGAATACTATTTCAAAAATCCATCAACAACGATAATTATCTGACGAAAAAAGAAAGGACAACAAAAGCACTGAATATACAAAAAAGAAATCTGATAGAAAAATGACAATGACTATTCAATGATATAGTTGTTCGATTTGGTTTTCATATTCATTATTACGATTGCGCTTAAAGATGTTTTTCGTGAGAAAGTAATTGATTTTGTTTGACGACCATTTATTGATGGAAAATCGTTCACCACCTATCGTACGTCGTTTACTTGGTAAACTCTTTTTCATTACGTAAAATCGATCAGCATAGCGAAGAAATTCGTCGTAGAAAACCATTTTCCAGTTGATTGCTTTTGTTGCCGAATAATTCATATCATTTGGATCGTACGTGAAATCAATCTCACCGGTTATACGTTCGATAATTAGACTAAAATCACCTGTTGATTTATGTTTATTGCCTGATGGATTTCTCCATACATTGTAGAACTCCTCGAATTTTGCCAAATTCGGAAGACGTTTCGATGCTAATTGGTGACCGAGTTCGATCACTTCATAAAGTATTCGATCGAAGTTCGGCAAATGTTTTTCCAAATGTCGTACAATTTGCTCTTCGCTTTTATGAACCACAGGATTGGAAATCTAATCAAACGATCATAGCCGTGACGAAAATGATTATTTGCATACAGTTTACCCTTTTCTCTTGATTATCCACGACGATGCAGTCGTCGTTGTTGTTATTGGCATCTGGTGGTGGCGAAGGACAGCTAAGCTGTAGAATAGCGTAACGATTGTGAATGAAAAATGTAATCCAAGCAGCATAGAATAAGTTTAAGAGTGCATCGAGCCGATCACGATCGTCGAATTCTTGTAAGTATTTTAAATAACTTCCAATAACTAAAAACAAACCTTCAAGCCAACGAAAACCTTGCAATGGTTTGAGATTACTAAACAGACACTTGTGATGTAAAGAACTTAGTTCATTCTCGATGACTTCGACTATCCCGTGAGAATAGAACCGATGATCATCGATCCAAATGTCGAATAATTCAGGATCACGTTCGAGAATCGCATCACAGCATCGATGAAATGTTTTCAGTGCATCTGTCGAACATTTGGTATTCAAATCGAATACATTATAACAACGATTGTCACTATCAATATCCAACGCGAACGGATCGTCCTTTTCAGAATGATTTATGGCAACAGCAGGCGTATCAGAAGTCATGTGAATCGACTTTGTATGATGAAAGACAAATGAAGAAATAACCTCAACCAAACGAATCATTCATTCATTCATTCATTCATTCCGTATTGATGAATCACCTTTCGAGTGAAAAAACCGTCTTGAAATCATCCAATCCATAAAAAGACTTTACTCCATCTACAGACTAATTCAAATATGCTGTCATCTATCAAAAATATTGACACCGGTTTTTGAACTGTCACATTGATCGATTTTCTTTATTCACGCTAGTTTTATATTTAGAAAGTAGGAAAACAATGACGACGATTATTTGAACAAAGTCAAGTCGTTTGACAGCACCGATAGATCACCAGCATCTGGAGAATTTTGAATGAAATCATTGACGTTTGTAAATCTTAATTCAACAAAAGACATGTCCGGCCGCTTTGTATTCATCATGGGATGAATTTCTAGAACCATTGTGATTATACCAATTGGCGCATGAATGAATTGGCATGTGATGAAATCGTCGCTCGATGTTGAACATGCGTTGATCAGAGCTCGTTCGACCTCCGCTTGATCGTTTGCATTGATAAATTCGAGAACCGATCGATTACTAAATTGTTCGAACGATGCCGATAGTAGAGTAGTTACTGAATTATCAACAAGGAAGATTTTCCAATTATTCACTGAACATCGGCATAGAAAAACCTGTATATTCGGTTTTTTATGGAGTAAAACATTTTCTTCTTTGTATTTGTCTATCAGTGGCAAGTGAGCAATACCAATAAAGGCTAAATAGCCGAGTTCGTTGTTTGCAACAGGTCTGTACTGTTGATCAAGCTTTTTGACTATTCCATTGATGAGAATCGGAGCGTATGAACCATCACTTCGTGCAAGCTGACATTTAATTGTGTGTTTTTGTGCGGGTTGATGAAATAACGAGAGTATTTGGTTACGAACCAGATGTGCATCATTTGGATGAACAAAAGATAAGAAATCTTGATCAATCCATTGTTCTGGTTTGAAATCGAGTATTCGTTCGATGGAATCGTTAACATTGAGAATACGAAAAATTCCATCTTGAATTGTGACGCTGAACATAAAAGTATTATTAACTTCGAAATTGAGAAACTGATCTTCTTCAGCCGTTAAATACGATGGTAAAAGTTGCTGATTGCCGTTTCGAGTATCGATCTCCTCGATTAGATCCTTTGCAATTTGTAAAACATTCAATTGAGTTAGTTTAGCCGTTGTTTGACCAAATTGAACCGAGCTCACTAAAGATTTAAGTTCTTCCAAAAGTTTTTGTTCAAACTTGCGTCGTCGTTCTTCGATACGGCGGTGTTGTTTGGGATTGCCTGGCTGTTTACCTCTGACCGGCCTTTCGTCGCCATCAGACGTATCGGAATCATCGTGGGAGTTCCTTCGTTTGTTATCGTTTGAATTCGCCGGTAAACTCATTGTATTAATATTGAATCTCGGATAACGTTAACTGTGTGATATGAAGCGTTTGACTGGCTTTATTTGAATTGCAGAAATAACACTAAAATATGTGTATGTATTTATAACATGCGTATTCGCTCGTTGACAGGTAAGTATGCATGATTTTAATCATATAGAAGAAGAAAAATGTGTGTGTTGCTGCTCTGTAGACACTTTGTCAATAAGAAAAACATTATTAGTTTGTCATTCTGTTCTTCCTTGTTACTATGAGACATATTGCGATAAGCAGTCCTCGTTACTTTCTTTTTCGTCTTTTATCTGACAGAAATCTTAAAATTTGTTTTATTTTATATTACTTTAAAAGAATAAACTTGGGACAAAAACACAAGAAAGCTAATGAGGTTTCTATTCATGCGAATTAAACTTGTCCGATTACAGCCGTCATTTGAACAAACAGTTATCGTTCCTTGCATACGTACACCTTTGATTTGGTTGAAATTTTTCAAGCGAAAATTGCCCGTCGAGTCCGACGAACGAGTTGAGTCCATAATATGATCAATGATACATGTTCGTAAGTAGAGACTTTTGTGTATTAATGATCGATTGACAGTGCGATCAACATCAACAATAATACCCGATATTTTGACGCAAAATCGAGCAGGAAACAAGCCGTTTCGTCCGTTCGATGTTGCCAGACAGTCCGTTTCGAGATGATTATCAATTGGATTGAATGGATCTGAACATGTATCATTTTCGAAATTGGTCGTCATGCATTTAAAACAAGATAAACAGTAAAGATGATTGATCGAGCATACAAGAAGAATAATTAAAGAAATGAATAACATTAGATGAATGGGTTTTTATTGAATTCTTGTTTATATACTAGTTCGATGGATAGAAACGTGGATTATATTGCTCGCCATTACACTTGAAATAGTATCTGATCATGCTATGTCGAGTTTTCTTCGCACACTTGATACCGTCTAGAATGATTTGTATGTGTGTTGTCTCTCTCTCTCTCTTCCTTTCTCTTTTCTCTTTTCCGATTTCCCGAATATTTTCTCCTTTTTCCTTCGATCTTTTGTGTATGTGTATATATATACGAGTACGACGTTGAACAAGAACTAACCAACGTCATTGAATAGTCCTCCATGGGTTTCAATGTTAACTACAGTTACTGTTCGCTCCAATTGATGTGTTGTGACGGCATGCATATATATATATATATACTCTTCGAGAACAAAATATAGAAAAAAGCAAGGAGCTCAACGCCTTTTGTTCGGTATATCTCATGAGAGTTGCATGTTAGGACGAACGACGCCGTTGTCAATTGCCACAAACGAGCATCAGTGCATACGCTTAGTATTTCTAAATAAATAAAAGAAAAAGAAGAAAGAGTTGTTCGTCGAGTGTGACAACACTCATCGAGTCCGATGGAAAATATTCATTTGCGTTGTAAATCTCTTCGCTATTGAAAAGAAGATTCTGTTACTTTCTAACGTCGAATATTCGATTTCTTTTTTGTTGATTAATAAATGGCGAACGTTGAAAATGAATTGTTAAACATCTCGAGAAATCTCACGAGATAGAATTGGATCGTTGAGTTTTCTTCTCTACTCAGAATGTCTGATAAAAGCTCACATTTGTAGCACTCGTCACTTGATTCGAAGAATTGCTGCTAAATGTTAAAAAAAAATTTTTCACTAATTTGTTTTTCATAGAAAAATTCTTAATGACGAATAATGAAATAGTTCATGATGTGAAAAACTGTAACTGTTCAAGCTGAATTGACTCGTTTAACACGAAAGAAACAATGTCTTGTTCATCGTGATCGTTTCCAAACAATTCATGCTCGAATAAGAATACGACAGACGTCTCAGACATTAGAGGAATGGTAGTGACTATTAATTTGTACTTTAAATACTTTCTATGTATTGCTTATTGGTTTTGACAAAATATCGTAGACTCCTCGATGCTTTGGATTCTCCGTACTCATTTATTATTGAACACTTCTATTTGTTCCTGTTTTTATCAAAATAAGTCTATAATGAAATAAAGGAAATGACTCCTCTCGGCGCTAAAAACGAGCAGCAACAGTTCTTTTGTGTCGAGAGATAATAAAGACAATCTGTCTTTAATATATATTACTTTCACAAATGGATTGCTGTCTGCCGACATCTATAGGAGATTCTGTCAAAAGGTTATTACTAGATACCATTAGCATGATGCTATTTTACTGCTCGCTTGCCTTGTGTTGTCTTTTACAATCTGTTGATAGATGTTTTCAATCTCTTTACTATAAATGGAAACATTTGAGAAACTCTGAAGGAAACAACATTGGATGAATTATTTTATAAAATCAAATCGATAATGTTGAATGAAGCAAAAGAATAATGGTTCGGTGACTGGAAGTTGAATACAGATTATATCATATAGATATATATATGAAAATAAGGTGTTTTGAATCTGTTCGTCCATTTCAGATCATGGGTGATTCCGAACTTGATGCCATTCGTGCTAAACGTTTAGCAGAACTACAACAACAACAATCGGGTAGAAATGCGAATAATCAAAACGCTGCAGAAGAGCAACGTCAACAGCAAGAAGATATGCGCAATGCCATGTTAAGTTCGTTGTTAACACAAGAAGCACGTGCACGTTTGAATACTATCGCATTGACGAAACCAGAAAAAGGACGAATGGTTGAAGATATTCTTATCCAGAATGCTCGTCGCGGTGCATTTGGTAACGGAAAAGTGAGCGAAGACCAACTCATAGGTCTCTTGGAACAAGTGAGCAAAGCGACTGAAAAAACGACAAAAGTCAATGTAAGTCATTTGGATTGTGTATGATGATATGAAGAAAAAGAAACTATCAATTTTAGTTCGACCGACGACGTGCTGCATTGGATTCCGATTCGGATTAATTCGATCGTTTTCTTAGAAACTATTGTTTGGATTTTTACTCATTCTGTGTGGTGTGATAATCTCTTTGTTTGATTTTGTTACTAAATTACTATAAAAATTTCGAATAAATCTATCATCTTCTTCTGCTTCTTGTAGATGCTATTCATTCTGTTAAGATATTCTTGTGAGTACACGTACGCATGAATATGAGTGACGCATGTAAAAACATAATCATCACTGCATGATTACAATTGAATCGTTTGTGTTAGTTTTAGATAAGAGAATTTGTAATGAGTGACAGTGATTCAGGCAAACAGCGACAATTCTCGCTAACTTCCTCAAATGCTGGCAATGTCGGACCGAACCGCAGTCGTCGTTCATCTTGGTCTGATTCAAAGGTAAAGTCAACAGGCAACAGATGCATCTACTTCGTTTTGTCTGCTCTATTCTAGAAAGTTTGGAGTGTTGGCGATGAGACAGAAAATTATTCCGATTCTCGAACATTAATCTTACAGAAATTGAACAATTATTATCGTCGAATCAAACGCCAAATTCTTGCTTTTCAAAGTTTAACAACGGGCTTATTTCCAAATCATCTCGATCCAAACCACAAAGTCGGACACGTTGTTGAGAATGTTTTCTGTGCTATTGCAATCTGGTCTTTGCGACAGTGTTACTGCAAAATCGATAATGATCAAGGACGTGCACATGAGCTGGGACAGGCAGCAGTGAAATGTATGCGCGGAATACTCATCTGTTGGATGAAACAATCGAAGAAAGTAGGCTGAAGGGCATTTGATATCGATGGAAGGAGAATTTTCTCTTAGCTCGAGGTTTTCAAAAGTGAACAATCAACAAAAGATGCTTTACATTCGAAATTCAATGTTTTGGATGGAAATGAAGTGGCAGACGCTGATGAAGTCGGTCAGTTGCAAATATGTGCCATATCAATCTATCTACTAACATTGGCACAGATGATTACGTCTAATCTCGAAGTAGATCTACGCATATTGAAGTAAATTGCTTTTTTTTCCTAATTTCTCTTCTTTCAGATTATTTTTTCTATTGATGAAGTCCATTTCGTTCAACAACTAGTTTTCTCCATTGAACGTGCCTATCGCACACCAGACTATGGTATATGGGAGCGGGGAAGTAAATACAACACGAATACATGTGAACTTCATGCGAGGTAACGAGAGTTTGTCTGTGTATTTACTCTACTATTTCATTGCTTAGTTCGATTGGAATGGCGAAGGCAGCTTTGGAATCAATGAATGGCTTTAATCTGTACGGTGATAAAGGCGCAAACTGGTCCGTTATTTACGTTGATGTTGTACGTAAATCTCTGATCTGATCGATATTCGTCTGATGAGTCAATTTCTAGGATGCACATAACCGTAATCGAACGACATTTGATACACTACTTCCACGAGAATCAGCATCAAAAGTAAACATTTTGTTATTTGTAACTATGGAAATGTTTGCTATTTCTGCAGAATACTGATGCCGCTCTATTGTTCACTGTTGGTTGGCCAACATTTGCGATACACGAAGCAACACTTGTGGAGAATAGTATACGAAAATGCATTAAGAAACTGCGTGGTACACATGGCTTTAAGCGATTTCTCCGCGATGGTCAATATACGGATCTTGAATCAAAAGAAGATCGATTCTATCAAGCAACTGAAATCAAAGTTAGATTTGGACTTATTTGCTCGTCTCATTCTATACGTTTTTCACTTCAGAAATTTGACAAGAATGAATGCGAGTGGCCGATGTTTTTTGCACTAATGGCTATCAATGGTAAAAGAAGAGATTTGAGTATAGATTTTATTTCATTGAATCTCTATTAGGTATTTTCAAAAACAATCAATCCCAAGTCGATGAATATCTCGCTGCGTTAAACCCTCTCTTGAAACGAACTACAGAAGGTAAGATAGCAGAGATGTAGAAAAGGAACGTTTTTCTGAAAATATAAACGATTCCTAAGTACCTTATCGAAAGATTTCACATGCAAATGTTATCGAAAACTTGACTCCTCAAAACCACGTATGACTACATGAATTGCCCTATTTGTATTGGTTTTCTTCTTGTCAAACTCATACTTATTATCTCCAACTAGTCACTAACAATTCTTCATCATCCTTTCGTCCTTTCACTGGAATGCTTGATCAAGGTACACTGATTGATTGAGTTCCTCTGCTTCTACCTGTAGTACGCATGTCGATTTTCGTTCCAATTTTCTTATATTTCTTCGCTCTATACCAAAATGTTCAATACAGAATCGAAATTGAGATATTCTTATTCTTCTTCTTCCCTTCAAAGGCGAAATGATGGCTCATTACTATTACATCGATCATTCGAAACAACAGACCAGTGACTCAAGCGACTCCAATGTTATTAGTACTAATCAACCACCACAGTT